AGGGATGTGGAACAAGCTGGCAACAAGGCCCATTTGAAGCTTTTGCAGATCAGGTGAACTTTCTTGCACCCCCAGCTCCACAATAAAGGGCAGGAGAGATTTATACCTAGGTGCGTGCGTACATATAAATATATCTTTCTACGGATATAATCCAGGCATTTAAATTCTTTGTTTGGGAGAAGAAGGGGGCGGGCAGGGAAAAAGGAGTTGGTCGGGGGGGAGGGGCAAAGCAGCCCTCAGATGCAACGCCAACCTTCCTTTTTGGAGAGAGATCAAAGTCTGTCAAATTAACAATTAAAGATGGGCGAAAAATCCACAAAGAGGGAAAAGAAAACAGGCGCTTGCTTCCTTGATATGCGGTTGTAGGTTTGGGGTTGTTGTGCTTTCTGGTTTTTGCCCAAAGGTAAGCTGCTGTTTTAGGGACGCGTGTGGCGCTGTGGGTTAAACCACAGAGCCTAGGGCTTGCTGATCAGAAGGTCAGCGGTTCGAATCCCCGCAATGACTGGGTGAGCTCCCGTTGCTCGGTCCCTGCTCCTGCCAACCTAGCAGTTTGAAAGCACGTCAAAGTGCAAGTAGATAAATAGGTACCACTCCGACGGGAAGGTAAACGGCGTTTCCATGTGCTGCTCTGGTTCGCCAGAAGCAGCTTAGTCCTGCTGGCCACATGACCCGGAAGCTGTACGCTGGCTCCCTCGGCCAATAAAGCGAGATGAGCGCCGCAACCCCAGAGTCGGCCACGACTGGACCTAATGGTCAGGGGTCCCTTTACCTTTACCTTGATTCTTGCTTTCCTTTTATGGATCAGCGGTCTCGTTAGAGAGTAAAATTCAAGTTAAGCTGCTGTTTTAGGGGCTGTTGTTAAAAGCCTGGAACGGATTAATCTGTTTTGCATGACTTTCTATGGGAAAGCGCGCCTCGGCTTTGGAACGCTTTGGTTTTGGAACGGAATTTCCGGAACGGATTAAGTTTGAGAACCAAGGGACCACTGTATTGAGAGAAGGCATTCCCTCTTGATAAAGAGGAGGTCGGGATACGGGGATATGTCTGCCAAATTCTCATCTGCCCCAGGGCCAACCGCCAAGGGCGCTGCAACCCGTGAATCTTAACATCTGGAAAATGCAGACTAGAGCTTGTAGCTTTTGCTTTATTTTGGCAACCTCTTGTTCCTGCAGCTTAGTTCAATGAGCTTTTGGCCAAAAGCAAAGGAATGAAAACTGTCCTTTCCAAACCGTTTTTTTTTGGGGGGGGTCACCCCCAAATCATCGATTTTTGTATAGGTAACTGCATAACGCACTATGAAATTGTACATAATAATTATGCATTGGGATACAGGGGAATAACAGAGGTTGCGGGTTTTCTGGTACTTGCACAATGTTTTGTGCATTGTACAATGGTACCTTGGCAGCTGAACAAATCGGTTACCGAATGCTGCAAACCCGAAAGTGAATTTGCAAACGTTTTTCGGAAGCCGAACATCCGACGCGGCTTCTGATCTGAGTACAGGAAGCTCTTGCATCCAATCGGACGCCGCGCCTTGGTTTTTGACCGTTTTGGGAGCCGAACGGACTTCCAGAACGGATTATGGTACCACTGTACACCCCTTCTTACTACTTAGAATAAATCAAGGTTGCCGTCCCTCTTTCTTTGTGCTGCAAGCACCGCAAACTTCCAGCATCGCTTGGATTGCGTGTTCTGCGCACAAATTACCGTATTCTTCGCTCTATAAGACTCTATAAGACTCACCAGACCATAAGACGCACCTAATTTTTGGAGGAGGAAAACAAGGAAAAAAATATTCTGAATCTCAGAAGCCAGAACAGCAAGAGGGATCGCTGTGCAGTGAAAGCAGCAATCCCTCTTGCTGTTCTGGCTTCTGGGATAGCTGCGCAGCCTGCATTCGCTCCGTAAGACACACACACATTTCCCCTTACTTTTTAGGATGGGAAAAGTGAGTCTTATAGAGCAAAAAATATGGTAAATCTGGGGATCTGGGGTACGGAGGACTCCTGCTTCCAGCGATTCTCCAATACCCCAATGTTGCTTTTTTTGCAAGGTTTCCATATTTCCAACAAATTCTTGCAATAATTTTCACTGAGTTACCTATATGGCTATTCCAGCTTTGCATTTCGGGGTGACCTTTCCCCCCACAACTGAGAAGAAACAGGACCTTTTTCAGTGTTCTTAAGCCATGGGTAGGCAAACTAAGGCCCGGGGGCCGGATCCGGCCCAATCGCCTTCTCAATCCAGCCCGTGGATGTTCCGGGAATCAGCGTGTTTTTACATGAGTAGAATGTGTCCTTTTATTTCAAATGCATCTCTTGGTTATTTGTGGGGCATAGGAATGTGTTCATTATTTTTTTCCAAAATATAGTCCGGCCCCCCACAAGGTCTGAGGGACTGTGGACTGGCCCCCTGCTGAAAAAGATTGCTGACTCCTGATTCAAAGTGTTGGTGCTGACCTTGAAAGCCCTAAATGGCCCAGTATACCTGAAGGAGCATCTCCACCCCGGACACCTGGGTCCAGCTCCAAGGTCCTTCTGGCGGTTCCCTCCCTGCGAGAAGTGAGGTTACAGGGAACCAGGCAGAGGGCCTGTGTTCATTATTTTTTTCCAAAATATAGTCCGGCCCCCCACAAGGTCTGAGGGGCAGTGGACCGGCCCCCTGCTGAAAAAGTTTGCTGACCCCTGTCCTAAGCAAAAGCTCACCCCTTCATGATACAGGAAACTGATTTTTGTGGGGTTTTTTTGGAAAAAGTCAAAATGTTTTAACCCTGCTGCAGACAGAAAGCAGCCTCTGGCTTCCTAGGGGATCCAACTTTGGGGCAAGACAGCTACAACAGCCCCACATCCCCACTCGGCCCTTTCTCAGATAGACTTCTCCTGCACATGGAAGCTTCACCCAGCCACAAAACAGAAGCTTCCATCAAACCTTTTGTTTCCCCTCTTTCTCAGAAAGGACGAGCGCTGCCAAGGCGAAAGAGTACAGAACCGCTCAGCCCATCCTGGAATCTCAAACACAGCTGGGGCGGTTGCGGCAAGAAGCCCAAATTATTTTGCGAAAAGCATCAAAGCCGGGAGTTGAAGAAACCTCTTCAGATGTGACAAGCTCCGGGCAGAGGGAGTGGAAAGGGGTGGGCAGTTTGTTTGTGTGTTGTGGGGGTGGAAAGAAGGAGATTACACTTTGCTGTAACCACCTGTAGCTTCAAAATTCGGGAACGTGCACCAACTCGCCCCCACTCCCAAGACACGCACGGGCGCAGAAGTCTCTATAAACACACGCCCCATATTCAAAGCAAACTCCCCCTCTATCAAACGAAGCACATTTTGCTTTCATGCTCAAAATCAAAGGACGCACGAAGTCGGGAGACCCCCCAAAAATGTACCTTGAACTTTTGCACCTGCGGTTAAAAATAAAAAAACGGAGCCTTCTAGCAAACCGTTCTTGCAAACCAGGATACAAACCCCATTGCCCTAGACCAGGCATAAGGCAAACTCGGCCCTCCAGATTGTTTTGGGACTACAACTCCCATCGTCCCTAGCTAACAGGACCAGTAGTCAGGGATGATGGGAATTGTAGTCCCAAAGCAGCTGGAGGGCGGAGTTTGCCTAGGCCTGCCCTAGACCCTTGGCCCGGCATTGGCTGCTGGAAGTTGGGGGGCGGAGTCTGGCACAACCTCTGGAAGACCCCTGGGGTTTCGCCATATCCCTGGTCTGAGAAGAGGCATTCTCTGCTCTCGAGAGAGGAACGCCTCTTTCTAAAAGGCGGTCGTTCCTTCGACTCTCGGGGTTATTCGTGGGGCATAGGAATTCGTTCATTTTATATATTTTCCCCAAAATATAGCCTGGCCCACCACAAGGTCTGAGGGACAGCTGAAAAAAGTTTGCTGACGCCTTCGTTAGATAGTAAAATTCATGTTAAATTGCTGCTTTAGGGGTTGTTTTAAAAGTCTGGAACAGATTAATCCATTTTGCATGACTTTCTATGGGAAAGTGCGCCTTGGTTTTGGAACACGCTTTGGTTTTGGAACAGACTTCTGGAACGGATTAAGTTTAAGAACCAAGGTATAGCACCGTATTTGTAACTTTAAGCCGAAAGGCTGCCTTCACGGATCACATTGCGCTCTGCCTGATTGTGAGTAAAACTTCTTTTTGTTACTTACGAATAAGACTGCGGTGTCTTTATTCTTTTAGGAGGGGTCAAAGGGGTATCACCAGGAATAACAGAACATATCTCAATTTGGGCAAGCCAGATTAAATATGCTTATTGTCTTAAACAGACTCACACAAGTCTGCAACCAACTTTCTGTAAATGGGGCAATGCACTCTGCTGTATAAAGAAACTTGCTAGAGCAAGTTAGAAAAAGGTAAAGGGACCCCTGACCATTAGGTCCAGTCATGGCCAACTCTGGGGTTGCGGCGCTCATCTCGCTTTATTGGCCGAGGGAGCCGGTGTACAGCTTCTGGGTCATGTGGCCAGCAGGACTAAGCTGCTTCTGGCGAACCAGAGCAGCGCACGGAAATGCCATTTACCTTCCCACCGGAGCGGTACCTATTTATCTACTTGCACTTTGATGTGCTTTTGAACTGCTAGGTGGGCAGGAGCAGGGACCGAGCAACGGGAGCTCACCCCATCGCGGGGATTCGAACCGCCAACCTTCTGATTGGCAAGTCCTAGGTTGTGTGGTTTAACCCACAGCGCCACCCGCATCCCTTAGAGCAAGTTAGAAAGGGTAATATTAATCAATATATCCTCTCCTCTTCGCCGCAACATTCCCACATGTCGCCCCTCTCCAGATGTTGTGCCCGAATCCCCGCAACTTCCATCATCACCTCTGATGCTGCTTGCATCATTTATATCATTATAAATTATTATAAAATTATTATTATTGCCACGCAGGAAGCTGGAGTGCCAGCAACAGCAAGCACAAGACCTCAAGATCATCATTTGTGCAACCCTGGAGGACAAAAACCAGAAATACGGGGAGATATATTCAAGCATACCTGATCCTCCGAACTGCGTGCTAGCCAGAGTCGTCGGTCTGTTTTTCCCATTGGCTACTGGCAGCGGGAACATCTGGGGAAGAAGAAGAAGAAGAGGGGGAAACAGCGTCAGAAACTCAGATATATATACGTCAGGCGCCAAACGGCTCCTTAAACCACGGTTGCAGTTGCAAACACGAAAATTTCCGGTTGCCATTTTGGGGACAAGGTGGCTCTAACGTCTTGATTTTTCATCCTCATCAACCTTTATTACGATCCAGAGACCCAACAAATCGTTACAAAGCAATACACAATTCAGACAGCCTACCTCCAGGTTAAACAAGCATTTTGTTCAGAATATAGGGGTTATTTGTTATTGCAACCGCCCATAAAAACTTGGCCACTGCTAAGGTTCAAGCGTTTGTCCGGTCTTCCAATAGGAACCTGACATAGCGAGCCTCTGATTTTCCCGGGAAAGGTACCAGCAAGGGTAATATCAGTTCAGCCCTGGCTTGCTCATATTTTGCACAGTGCAACAAAATGTTTTATGGTGTCGATGTCTTGAGCGCACGAGCAAAGTCCGTCCTGGTAGGAAACTCCTCTCAACACTGCAGAAGGAAAGATGTTTAGTCTGGCCTTGGTGAAAAGCCTTCGATAATTTGGTACTGTCAGGTTTTTAATGTAAGATGTTGACTTAAAGACATGCCCATATTGGGCATTAGGTCCAGTCGTGGCCGACTCTGGGGTTGCAGCACTCATCTCGCTTTACTGGCCGAGGGAGCTGGAGTACAGCTTCCGGGTCATGTGGCCAGCAGGACTAAGCCGCTTCTGGCGAACCAGAGCAGCGCACGGAAACGCCGTTTACCTTCCTGCCGGAGTGGTACCTATTGATCTACTTGCACTTTGACGTGCTTTCGAACTGCGAGGTTGGCAGGAGCAGGGACCGAGGAACGGGAACTCATCCCGTCATTGCGGGGATTCGAACCGCCAACCTTCTGATCAGCAAGTCCTAGGCTCTGTGGTTTAACCCAAGCGCCACTCACATACCATGCACCACCCACGTCCCATAAGTGGCAGATAGCTGGGTGCAAAATGTGCCTGGCAAATTTTGAACATTGAGGAAGAGGTTACCAAGACAAGGAGAAGGGGGTGCCAGGGTGGGCGGGTACAGGCGGTATTTAACACCTCCCAAAATCTGGCACAGTTTCTCCTCTCTGGGTTTAAACACACACATATATAACACACAGAATAAGAGTTGGAAAAGGGACCCTTCAATGTCATCTAGTCCAACCCTCCTGTAGTGCGAGAATCTCAGCTAATGTGGCCATGAAACACAGCCTCCCAAATTCTGCTTCGAAACGTCTAAGGAAGGTTTTTTTTAAAGGACTTCTAAGGAAGTCTGTTCCGCTGCTTTTTAATAGATTGGGTGGGGAAGCAAAATTTTAAAATTAAAAAAACAATGCCCAGGAAATTTCTGCTCGCCTCTAGTTGCAAATTAATCTGACCACCCCCCTTGCTTTTTTAAATACGCTACGCCCCCCCCAACAAGAACAAGAGTCAAAGAAGCAAAATCTATTGCTGAAAAGTCGCACAAAAAGCAGACCGCTCTGACGCCAATCAGAAATTTCAATTTATCACCTAGGGTTGAAAGCGAAAATTCGGACACAAAAGTTTAGTTGTTTTTTTTATGGGCAAAGTTGCAAATGAAGTTTTGATGTATGGCAACCCTAACTTCAACAAACCCACCCACCCCTTCAAAAACATTCAGATAAATCGGAAACTGCCCGTGTGATCACAGCAATATAAACATGTTTTTGCCCCAGATCAATGCATAAGCACATCTCTCCAACTCCAAACACACTTGCAGTCTTCCTGGTCAAAGTTTTGCAGGAAAGACCTGTGAAAATATGCATCTTTAATTTGTTTCTCTTCTGTGCTTTCCATTAAACACTGGGAAGATCTGGGAAGAGGAATGATAGGGGCATATTTAAATAAGGCACCTGAATTGCAATGTTGTCTGTGCAAATTAAGCCGGTGCGAATTTCTAAATAATAAAGAGCAAGCAATCTTCTCCAGCTTGGTTGCTACCATGATGTTGTGGGGCTAAAAGGGAGAATTTGTCCATCCCTCAGATATGGCACAGGTTATCAGCACACAGGTGGTTTGCATGGGAAATTGCTGTGGACTAGAAACTTAAGCAGACTGCATGGGCAAGTTGAACATTAGCAGAGTTATGGCTCCAAGGGTAATTCTTTCTGCTCAAATAAATTTTATTGATGTTTATAGAGAAAAATATACAAAAGTTACCATATTTTTCGCTCTATTGGACGCACAGGACCATAGGAGGGGGAGAAAAGGGGGAAAAATTTTTTTTCTTGTTCTCCCCCTCTAAGTCAAGGTGCATTCTGTGCTTTCAAAGTGCGTTCACCCGAAGCCTGCGGAGCCCAGCAGGAGTTCCTGCTGGGCTCTGGAGGCTTTGGGTTCCTATCGACCTGCTCTTTGGGGCTGGGGGGGGAGCGCTGCTTTTGAATTCTGGTGCTGGAGGAGACTCTGGAGAGTCCCATGGACTGCAAGAAGATCCAACCTCTCCATTCGGAAGGAAATCAGCCCTGAGTGCTCACTGGAAGGACAGATCCTGAAGCTGAGGCTCCAAGACTTTGGCCACCTCATGAGAAGAGAAGACTCCCTGGAAAAGACCCTGATGTCGGGAAAGATGGAGGGCACAAGGAGAAGGGGACGACAGAGGACGAGATGGTTGGACAGTGTTCTCGAAGAGACCAACATGAGTTTGACCAAACTGAGGGAGGCAGTGGAAGACAGGAGGGCCTGGCGTGCTCTGGTCCAGGGGGTCACAATGAGGCGGACACGACTAAACAACTAAACAACAACAACAAGACTTCCAACATTGGATTTTCACAGATCTTTCAGCGCTTTCTGCCCAGACACTGCTTTCGGGAACTGCAGTGTTCCGGCTACGTCCAGGAAATTCCAGACATAGGGCAACCCCTAGCGCTGGTGGTCAGTGTAAGAAATACTGCACTAGATGGACTTCCTATGTTCTGGCTTAAGATCAATTCTACCTGCGGCGCTTTAAAGCATCGTAACCAGACCAGGCTTTTAGGAAAGCAGAGATATTCCCTGCAATTCGAGGGTTGCAAAACTGCGCCTTTAAATTTCCACTACACCGCCACCTTAAAATGCAGACAACCTCTCTTCTGAATCTTTTTACGCAGCGTCAGAAAAAGAAACAGATTTGGGAACGCGCAAAGGAAACGAATTCAACAACAGAAGGCAGGAGTTCCCTTAAGTTTCTCCCTTCCTCCCTCTCTCTCTAATTTCCCATGCAGTGTGGAAAAACCACCTTCAATGCGTGCAGCGCTGGAGGACTACAGCTCCCATGATGCAGTGTGCTAAAACAACGACAACACATACACACACAGAGAGCTGGCGCAGAAATATGAAAGGAGCCATCCGGAATCCCAAATCTACAATTCTATGCATCTAGGTAAAGGGACCCCTGACCATTAGGTCCAGTCGTGGCCAACTCTGGGGTTGAATCATAGAATCATAGAGTTGGAAGAGACCACAAGGGCCATGGAGTCCAACCCCCTGCCAAGCAGGAAACACCATCAGAGCACTCCTGACATATGGTTGTCAAGCCTCTGCTTAAAGACCTCCAAAGAAGGAGACTCCACCACACTCCTTGGCAGCAAATTCCACTGTCGAACAGCTCTTACTGTCAGGAAGTTCTTCCTAATGTTGAGGTGGAATCTTCTTTCTTGTAGTTTGGATCCATTGCTCCGTGTCCGCTTCTCTGGAGCAGCAGAGAACAACCTGTCTCCCTCCTCTAGATGACATCCTTTTATATATTTGAACATGGCTATCATATCACCCCTTAACCTCCTTGTGGGTTGCGGCGCTCATCTCGCTTTATTGGCCGAGGGAGCTAGTGTACAGCTTCCGGGTCATGTGGCCAGCAGGACTAAGCCGCTTCTGGTGAACCAGAGCAGCGCACGGAAACGCCGTTTACCTTCCCGCTGGAGCGGTACCTATTTATCTACTTGTACTTTGACGTGCTTTCGAACTGCTAGGTTGGCAGGAGCAGGGACCGAGCAACGGGAGCTCACCCCGTCACGGGGATTCGAACCGCCAACCTTCTGATCGGCAAGTCCTAGGCTCTGTGGTTTAACCCACAGAGCCACCCGCGTCCCTCTATGCATCTAGCAGGCACCAAATTTTGAGAAACCGTGTTCATATAATGTGCAGAATTTAGCAACCCAGGCGACCCCTTGCCTGACCAAATGGACGAGAGAAGAGAAAAGAGACCGACGCTGTCAGCTGTCACTCTCTGGGTTGTCTTTTATCTCTCTCCGTGACGTGGCGCCTCTCCCTGGCCTCCTTCCAAGGCTCCTTATCTAAAAAGTCAAGACCACACGCCCTTCCAAGGCGGGACACAACGCTCTCCTCCGACCGCACGTCGCCCGACGAAAGTCTGCCTCCGTTCGGTTTCCCTCAATAAAATGAGCAGAAGGTGCCCAAGAAACGGAAGAATGCCTCTTCTTAGAGGAGGCATCGTACTTGAGAAAGGAGAAAAGTTCCCAATAGTTTTCCCCAATAGGGGGAAGCCTCTATTTATAAGAGGCCTTCTGAGAGAAGAGAAAGCCTCTTCTTATTAAGCCAGGAATGGGAGAATCTACAACCCTCTATGTGTTCGTTAACTCCCTCCTCCCACCCCAGCCAGTATGGCCAGAGACCAAGGATGGTGGAGTTTGGAGTCTAGGCAGGGCTCACAGCTCCCTCTTCCCTGGAGTAAACAAACAGCCGGAGGGCGTTGACAAAATGGGAAGGTGTGCCGAGGAGGGAGAACCAAGGGTCTGGAGACCAAGCCTGATGAGGAATGGTCGAAGGAGCTGGGATGGAAAGTGGTGGGGTCTCCTTCCTTGGAGGTTTTTAAGCAGAGGTTGGCTGGCCACCTGCTATGGATGCTTTAGCTGAGATTCCTGATTCCTCCCTCCCTCCCTCCCTCCCTCCCTCCCTCCCTCCCTCTCTCTCTCTTCCTTCCTCCCTCCCTTTCTTCCTTCTCTCTCTCTCTCTTCCTTCTCTCTCTCTCTCCTTCCTTCCTTCCTTCACTCTCTCTCTCCTCCCTCCTTCTCTCTCTCTCCTTCCTTCTCTCTCCCTCTCTTGCCTTCCTTCCTTCCTCCTCTCTCTCCCCTCCCTCCCTCCCTCCCTTCCTTCCTTCTCTCTCTCTCCTTCCTTCCTTCCTTCTCTCTCTCTCTCTCTCTCGCTCCTTCCTTCCTTCCTTCCTTCCTTCCCTCTCTCCTTCCTTCCTTTCTTCTCTCCCTCTCTCCTTCCTTCCTTCCCCCTCTCCTTCTTTCCTTCCCTTTTCTCTCTCTCTCTCCTTCCTTCCTTCTCTCTCTCCTTCCTTTTCTTCCTTCTCTCCCTCTCTCCCTCCTTCCCCTACTCCGCCCCCACCCTCTCTAAGTCTTCACAACAAGGAGACCGTAGCAATTACGCGTCCCCCTTGATACTGCGACGAGGAACAAACAAGTTGGTACCCGCAACCGCTCACCTCCTTGTGAGTTGCCTCCGTCCGACGCCCTCACTCCAACACACCCAATCCAGCGCAATGCCACCAGTCCTTTTGCCACCGCTCCCTCCCCTCATGTTGACATGTGCGTAAACCCCCCGCAAAAAGACAAATAACTAGAGTCTCACTTACCATACTGAAATCTAAGAGGTCACTCAGCTCCTTGTCGGTCCCGGCTGCGGCCATTCTCTGCTGCTGGTTCATATTCCCCCCAGATTCAAACGTAGTCCGTCCTTTTTATTATAATTATTCCACACCGACAAAAAGGAGGAGGAGGAGGAGGGGAGGAAGGGATGGGAGCAGAGAGGAGAGGAGGGAGAGAAAGAAAAAGAGATTTGTTTATTTTTTTAAGTTAAAAGAATATTTGTGAAACGGAGGAACAAAACCACCCAGAATTAATCATTTCATTTTGCAATACTACCCCTCTCTTGCAGGGATCTGCTTTCAAATCCACAACAAGCGAGTTATTGAATGGAGAATGGAGGGTCGGGGGGGGGATCGGTGGGTGCAAAATTCACCCCCCAAAACACTTTGATTTATTTTTCCCCAAATGTTCCACCCCCGATTTCTGGGCCTGACGGACTGCGAGGTGACGTCTATAGTTCTCCCCCCCCCAAAAAAAAATTAATAGTTTTCTCTTCTAACACACAGACAAAACATAATAGAAAAACATTACATTTGACACAACATAAAAACTTAACAATAAAAACACACAAAATACAAGAAGAATTTTCTTCTTCTTATTCCCTGGTGTATTTACATTGCTAAAAGACTTCCTGGACACTCTCCAATCTGGATTTCATCATATCACATATTTAGCAGTTCCCAATTTCATATTTATAACATCAGTATCTGGTGGGACGTGGGTGGCGCTGTGGGTTAAACCACAGAGCCTAGGACTTGCCGATCAGAAGGTCAGCAGTTCGAATCCCCGCAATGACGGGGTGAGCTCCCGTTACTCGGTCCCTGCTCCTGCCAACCTAGCAGTTCGAAAGCACATCAAAGCGGTCATGACTGGACCTAACGGTCAGGGGTCCCTTTACCTTTTTTATCTGGTGACGTCCACAGTTTTTGCAGGGGTGGGTGGCAAATACGTGAAATGAAAACAGGATTTTTATTTTTGCAGGAAGGGAAGGGAGTGAGAAAGAGAGAGCACATCTATCTTGGGCACCTTTCGAGTCTCTGCGTCAAATGCCTTTGGCCATCCTTGGAAAACTGAGAAACTATCACTACTCAAGAGAGAAGTAAAGGTAAAGGGACCCTTTGACCATGAGGTCCAGTCGTGACTGACTCTGGGGTTGCGGCGCTCATCTCGCTTTACTGGCTGAGGGAGCCGGCGTACAGCTTCTGGGTCATGTGGCCAGCAGGACTGAACCGCTTCTGGCGAACCAGAGCGGTGCATGGAAACGCCGTTTACCTTCCCGTCGGAGTGGTACCTATTTATCTACTTTCGAACTGCTAGGTTGGCAGGAGCAGGGACCGAGCAACGGGAGCTCACCCTGTTGTGGGGATTCGAATCACCGACCTTCTGATTGGCAAGTCCTAGGCTCTGTAGCTTAACCCACAGCGCCACCCGCGTCCCTCTTTTGAGGATAGCAGAATGCTTTTCTCAAGTTTGTGCATTTGTGAGAGTGTTAAAGGTAACGGGACCTTAACCAGAGCAACGCACTGAAACGCCGTTTACCTTCCCGCTGGAGCAGTAAACCCAGATATACAGTGGTACCTCGGGTTAAGTATTTAATTCGTTCTGGAGGTCTGTTCTTAACCTGAAACTGTTCTTAACCTGAAGCACCACTTTAGCTAGTGGGGCCTCCTGCTGCCGCCGCGCCGCCGGAGCACAATTTCTGTTATCATCCTGAAGCAAAGTTCTTAACCTGAGGTACTATTTCTAGGTTAGCGGAGTCTGTATCCTGAAGCATATGTAACCTGAATCATATGTAACCTGAAGCGTATGTAACCCGAGGTACCACTGTATAAGCTTGGTGCCAATCGGCTCCTTAAACCAGAGTTGCGGATGCCAAAACGGAACCTAAGATGGTCCGAAGGTCCTATTTTGTAAAGGATGGGCTGGCTGGGACGGATTCTCATCTGAACATCTGGCTGGGAGTTTGGAGGAAAACCTTGAACTGGGCTAAGAGGTCTGAGAACTTAAAAGGAAGGAAGTCCCTTGATCCAAGGACAGTACGGGTATATATTGGCCTCTTCCGACCTCTTTTTCTGTATGGGGACACGGACCATTCATAAGGTGGGAATATTCTTCCCAACGGTGAGGAAGGGGAAGCGAAAACAAGCGACAAGAATTCGCTAGAACGCCGTTCGCTGCTCCCACTCAGGCTGCACAAAAGTAGAATTTTGGTCTCTGAAATTCATTATATAATAATTAATAATAATAATAATAATTTATTATACCCTGCGCATAACCTATATAAACATTAAAAGCTTTAAAGCATTAAAACCTATAACCTATTAAACATTAAAAGCTTTAGAAAATGTCTTCTAAAAGTTTGGTAGTTCTTTTTCTCTTCGACATCTGGTGGCAGGGCGTTCCACAGGGCGGGCGCCACCACCGAGAAGGCCCTCTGCCTGGTTCCCTGTAACTTGGCTTCTCACAGCGAGGGAACCGCCAAAAGGCCATCGGGAGATGGACCCCGGTGTCCGGGCTGAATGATGGGGGTGGAGATGCTCCTTTCAGGTACACTGGACCAAGGCCGTTCCATTCCAATGGTGCGGATAAAATATCGCAGATAGGATTCTACGGGGTAGGGTCTTAAATGTCCAGATCCAAGGATCCCCCAATGGCGGAGACCTCAGACGTCATCCTGGCACCCGGACATCTTCACACGGTCTCAAGCGGCCGAAAGCAAGGTGCAAAATACGCCTGGCAAATTTCGAACGCCGTGGAAGAGGTCACCCAGAGAAAAATACAGCTTGCAGATCTCCAACACAGGCACGGACCCTGGGAAAAGGTCACTGTGGGCACAACGTTGGAGACCGCCCTGCTCTGGCTTCTAGGGTTGTCGGACCGCCAGGTGGGCTCGAATCTCCAGGTGAGCGAGAGGGTCTTTAACAACGACAATAAAGGTATTAAGTATGTCCCACAGAGGAACTTACGGTCTTCAAACAAAAACATCTTGAAGGTCCCAGGCCACAGAGAGGTTAGGCTGGCCTCAACCAGAGCCAGGGATTTTTTCGGCCGTGGCTCCGATCTGGTGGAACGCTCTGTCACAAGAGACCAGGGCCCTGCGGGACTTGACACCTTTCTGCAGGGCCTGCAAGACAGAGCTGTTCCACCAGGCCTTTGGCCAGGGCACAGCCTGACTCCCTCCTTTGGCAATCTTCACAGAACTCTAGCCCAATGGTTGCCATCAATTTGATTTGAATTAATTTTATAATGAAATGATTTTAGAATGTTGTACTATTTTATTGTTGTTAGCCGCCCTGAGCCCAGCTTCGGCTGGGAAGGGCGGGATATAAATACAATTTATTATTATTATTATTATTATGATTATTAAGAGGACTGTGCCTGCAGCTTGCAAGCTTCAGTGTGGATGGAACAAGCCGCAAAGAATTGCATGGACTCTCAGAGCGACTGGCTGCACCCCTCCCCCGCTTCCCTTCTCCCAATTAACCTCCGTCTCCAAAGCTTAGTGGATGGAGGGGGGAAGAATCACCAGGGCGCACCCCTGGGTGTTACCGACCGGCTGCTTTTCTGACGTACACATGTATTCGGCCAGTGTGTACTTTACGCTTCAGCGTGGAAGGAACAAGCCGCAAAGTATTGAATGGACTCTGAGAGCGAGTGGCTGGCCCCCACCGCTTCCCTTCTCCCAATTAACCTCCGTCTCCAAAGTTTAGTGGATGTAGGGCATAGCTGTCAAGCGTCCCTTATTTGGCGGGACAGTCCCTTATCCCAGCGCCATGTCCCGCTGCTGTCCCTTATTGATGATGTCCCTTAAATAAGCTCCTGAAGGTAATGGGGCCCTTTCTATGTCCATCTGTCCTTTGTCAACAACAAATTGTTGCTTTTTTTGTGTGTCGAATATATGCTATATGGTAATTTATGGACCTAATAGGTATCTAGAGCCATTTGCACCCAAGAAAATATGTATTTTATCAAAGTAATTGTTGATCCCTTATTTTCGAGGCTGCTGGTCCCTTATTTTCAAATTTGTAAGTTGACAGCTATGATGTAGGGCTTGTTCCTTTTACACATATTTGCTCGAGAAAACCTACACACAACTACAGAATCAGATAATCCTTTAATACTGTGCACACCTTACCAGTGTCGGTAAGACCACCACCCTGCGCAGGATTATTATAAATATATCTTCCCTGGAGCCTTTATGTCCAGCTGAAATGAGCCCTTAAGACTCTGATAATGGGTTGTTATCCAGAGCCGGTCCTACTCAGAATAGACCCATTAGAGAAAGAAAGGTATGGCTCCCTTGCTTTCAGTGGGTCTACTCAAGAGGAGAAATGAGTTGGCCACAGCGAATTACCCTATTGCAGGCACCCCCAAACTTGGCCCTCCAGATGTTTTGGGACTACAACTCCCATCATCCCTAGCTAACAGGACCAGTGGTCAGGGATGATGGGAATTGTAGTCCCAAAACTTGGGGAATGAGCATAACTCAGTGTCTCCAAACGTAGGCAGTCCCAAATTCAATGCTCACCATCTCCATGTAGGGCAGGCGGGGTGGGGGAGGGAAGACTCGCACCCGAGACCCTGGAGAACTGCTGCCGGTCAGTGTAATTAATAATAATAATAATAATAATAATAATAATAATAATAATAATAATAATTTATTATTTATATCCCACCCATCTGGCTGGGTTTCCCCAGCCACTCTGGGCGGCTCCCAACAGAAGATCCAAAAACACGATAAAACATCAAACATTAAAAGCTTCCCTAAACAGGGCTGCCTTCAGATGTCTTCTAAAAGTCAAGTAGCTGCTTATTTCCTTGACATCTGGCGGGAGGGCGCCACCACTGAGAAGGCCCTCTGCCTGGTTCCCTGCAACCTCACTAAGTCAGGCGGAGAGGCAGCGACGGGCCCAAAGTCACACGCAGTGAGCTTCAGGGCCAAGGGGATATTTGAACCTGGGTCTCTCAGTTCCCAGTAAGTCACTCTAACCCCTAAACTATACTGGCTCTCTGATTTTCCCATCAGCCACTCTGGGCGGCTTCCAGTACATAGAAAAACAGAATAAAACTTCAAATATTAAAAGCTTC